CTACATTATTGAGAGATAAAACCCTGCTTAAAAACTAATTATATTAAACAATAACTTTACAGTGATGCCATGTTATAACTTAGTTGTGTGCTTTCTCGTACTGCGATATGATATGTTTTGTTATGTCCTCCGGGATACCACACTAGTTCGTTATTCACGGTTCTCAGAGTGCATGAAATATACGTCTTGTTTGCTGCAGATGATGGGGCGTGTCAAGGGGGATGGGTTTGGCGCGGTGCCTGCACATTTTCTTTTCGGCAGGCGACAAGACTGTATCACTCGCTTACCCACTTCAACAACTCGTGTAGAACGGGCTGGCGGCACATCAGACCAAGCCTCACCGCCACAGCCGCGCCCCATCATCCGCAGGGAAGAGGACTGTACCGATATAATCTGGACCATTTATTCGACGCATGATTTCGAGAACTTGGTAGTACTGAACAGATCTTATTCTGCCAATTTTGAGCTTTGCAATTCAAGCGGATTCGCAATTTTCGTATTGTTTCAGTTTTACACATTTGCTGTGGTGTTAGTAATTTGCAAAACATTTTGGAGTATCAGCTCACTTCTAGAACCTACTATTGTAGCACAGGGACAAGCGACAAGCACAAAAGCAGTGACCAAAGAACAATTATTGCCTATTCACCTTCTACCTTCTCTATTCATCACCTTTAACTTACATATTCCCATTTAGTATTATTCGATATTCTTGAAATTCCGGTAATCATCCATTCATTCGCTTCGCCCAGCAAAAAAAGGCTTGTGCGTAAACACTTCTGTTGTAAAATGGGGATAATTAATTGTTTTTACGTCTTAGGTAATCAAGTCTAGCAGTTACAAACAAAAACATTTATAGAATGCTCATTCAAGGGAAAAACCAGATCTCGGTGATGTCATGAGCACTACAATTCCACATGGGAAATCATTGTTTTACGGTTCCGAGTCAGCTTGGAAACATACGATTTGAGTGGCGATTGTGGGATAATAACACGGAATTAGGGGGGGGGGTACAATTATCGGTAGTGTGACGTTACAAATGGCGTCATGTACGCCGCACCAGTGAGAGGGGCTATTAGATTGGTGGAAAAGTCCTGCCATATTTTATGCAATCAGGCCTTTTTCATAAACAGGAATATGAGACCAAAAATATACACCATAGTTATTGGCTCTTGCCAATTTTTAAGCACCTAAGGCTGCGTTCATACTTTACGGCAGCGTTCACCGGCGACCAATGGTGTCCACCAGCGTTCCGAGCGCCCGACAGCGTCAGCGACTAGGAAAGTATAGATAATCA